AGCCGTGGTAATAATCGTCGACTGCATAACGCGCGGCTTGCGCGACGCCTCTGTCCCCTTTAAACCGCCTGTCTCTCCTTCAACCGCGCTTTTCTAAATTACAGTGCATCAGGTAATGGCTCCGAGTAAGAGCTATTACGAGCCCGTAAAAATCCGCCAACTTGGCGCGTCGCGCACTCTTTCCGTCGTAAATATCCCGTATCGCGCGCGGTTTCCTGCCATTCCTCTATTTAGGAAAATGCTCCGTATCATATTTCCGAGTTGCTCGCGTGTGCGCGTGAAAGGAATGAGGGGGTGGGAAGGTTAATAAGCATCACTTACCATCGGAAAGCCGCGTGATAACGCTAACGATACGCGTTTTACGACGCGCACGGTTACGTAGACAATAACGAGAGAGATGAGCTTGGCGCCCGAAAATAAAGCCTCGCCAACGTCTTCTGATGGTATATGCATCGATGTAATTAGCGCGTAATCGCAGTTTCGCCTCGGCGAATAAATTAGGCGCGCCGCTATTTTGCGCCCCCGGAGCGGAATTGCACGGCGAAAGTCGTCCCGTGATTTCTCAGCCACGTCCAATTTCTCCGCGAACGGTATCTTGCCGGTGTTGCTCCCCTCGCAGCCGAGCATCTTAATTGCACTCATTCTGGGAAAATGCCGTTGAACGGAAACATGAATAAAAGGAACGGCAGAAACGAAAGAACTCGTGGCAACCAGTCGCGCGTCGAAAGGGGCGCGTGGGCGGCTGTGAGACACAGAAGAAGGCTGTTGCCATCTTTTTCCGTATCCCCTTCTTGCTCGATGTTGCGTCAAAAATTTTTCACTCGATAATTGGGAAAGATGCGTCCCATTATCTCTCTTTCTTCCCTCTTCCCCTGACTATCTCTCTATCCTTCTCACTTGCGCGATACGCGTCGGCGGAGGCTATTTATTCTCCCATTCACAGATGATTTATCGCGACTCGCGGCGTTATAATTCAGGTTTTCAATTGCAATTGAAATTAACGAAGGCACTCCATCATATTCGGAGGGATCTTGGCGCCGTTGGAGATGCCCGCCGGGGATTTCCGCGCCGACTGATGACTCGCGCGGGGCATTTTCTCGCGACTCCGCCTTCGCCCCGAGTTTCACGCGCGGCATAACTCTCTATATTTTGTATCTCGCGTGTTTACACACCGGTGAGATTTCTCCCGCGCAACCGACCGACTCGCATCTCCAGCCGCGTGTTGTTTTAATTCGCAACTGAAGCGTTCTCAGTGAGAAAAAAGGTAAGAGAGACAGAGAGTGTCTGTGTGTGTGTGTGTGAGAGAGAGAGAGAGAGAGAGAGAGAGAAGGGTCCGGAAAAATGAGCGCGTGGAAAACTCGACTTGGCGTTCCTCTCCGTTTTGCCCTGCTCCTATTTTTTTCGGAACACACACACACACGCGCGCCCGAAGTGAAAGAGAGGAAGAAAGAGGAACACGGTGGGGCGAAAAAGAAAAATGTGCGTCGTAACCGCGGTAATTCGCAGCGACGGGGGAGGAGGGGGGGGGGAGAGAGGGTGAGTGCAAACGCTCGTCGGCCTATCATCTCGCGAAATTCCGAAGAAAATGGCGGGGTCACCCCTTCCTTCCCGCTCGAATTCTTTTTTCTTTTCCGACAACACACACAGGGCACAAAGGAGAGAGAACGGCGGAGGCTGTAAACGTCCGCAGCACCTCGTCGTACGCGCTCGCTCGTACGCCCGAGGCCGGCCTGTATTAAATTAGATGGTGACGTGCACGGCCGGCACCACGGAGGAGGCGCGCGCGCGATGTGGGGTGCTGCGCACAGCGGAGCTCATCAAGACTCGGAGGCCCATTCAGCCGGTCATTGTCTGCGGTAATGGAATGTATTAATATCGGAGAGCCCGCGGGGCCGTCGACTAACGCTCCGTGTATACCTCTCCCCTTCTCTCTCTTTCCCTTCTCCTCTCTCTCTCTCTCTCTTACACACTCTCGACTCGGTACCGTGCGCGCACCCGGTTCGGTTCTACAACCGCGGCTTGCTGCTGGGCGGGATACGTCCCGTGGGATGGAATATTCGTATAAACCGCCGCTGCACTGCAAACCGCCGGCGAATACCGGGCCCCACGCATTAATATCTAAATACGAGCGAGCCGGCGAGCGAGCGAGGGGGACGGAAGTGCGACGGCGGGAGAGTCAGGGGCTGGCGGGATGGGTGAGGTCGACGGAGGGAGAAGGGATGAGGTAGTTGGCTCTCGCGCGTACTCTGCCAGTTGCATCTCGTATTCATGCGTTGCACTGGCGGCTACCAGAGGCGTTACACGGCCCCAACCCTTTCGCCACCGGCCAGGTGTAATACTCTTTTTAGCTCGGACATGATACGTCAAAGGTCCTTTTGTGATAATTGCGTTAGTGGACGAGGCTCCCGCGAGGCATGTCCGCCGAAGGCGATCCCCTGTTTTGCGCCACGGTCATTTCGCGACTGTTTGCAAGATAGTGGAGGGAGAGAACGAGGGAGGAAGAGGAAGAGAGTGAGATGCACAAGCGCGCGGACCGGGTGGACAGCGGCGGCGGTGGTAGGTGCAAATTAATTCGGAATAGAATTAATTCCACCGTCGTGCGCTCAAACGTGCTCGGCCGGCTCGCGCAAAACAAAAAATTGCCGTTAAATAACGGCGTACGTTAATTAAGCTATACCGCGTTGCGATATATTAATTCGCCGGAAAATACGGCGGTAACGGCGGC